GCCGTGGATATAAAGAGTTTCGTTGAATAACTCAAGGCGTGAAGAATGGCTTGCATAATCATTCCTAATTTCAATACTCTCATTTTACACACAAATCCTCTCATTTTACACACAATTCTTCAACATTTCAATACTCTTTCATTGCATAATCATTCCTAATTTTCTTAGCTATTTGAGAGCCAATTCTTGAAGAAATTGTCGTGTTCTTGAGCGTTTACTAGTTCACTCATATCTACTCTTTGTGAGAGTTTTATTCCTGAGTGTTTAAGTGTTTTCATACACTTTAAGGGAGGTTGTTCCCTTGTTGTAAACTCGAAGGAAGTTCCTTGTTCCTTCGTGAGAAGTCTTGGAGTGCAGTATCTCCGAGCAAAGGTGTTGAGGCTCGTGTGACTCAGGTTCTTAAGTTGTATCGGTTTGTTAAGCACCCTTAAGCTTAACGGAGTTAGTGTAGCTCGAGAGAGTCTCTCGGGGGGCTGGATTAGCCACACGTTGTGGTGAACCAGGATAAAATTCGGTGTGCTCCTTCCTTACGCTCTTTACTTTAACGCACTCATTTTTAATTTCCTACGATTTTATTTTAAACGCTATTCACCCCCCCCCCCTCTAGCGTTGGGCCTTTATTCTAACATCGTTGCACCTAAAAAATTAATTAATTATTTTCCTTTACTCAATTCCTTCTTGTAAAAATAATATTTATTAAATCTATAGATAGGATAAGTAAGGGTTGATCCCACGAGGAAACATCTTTTTTAGGCTATGAAAATCAGTATACTTTGTCACTTTTTATTGGATAAAAACAACTATCTAAAATCTATAAACTAAACTAAAAGATAAGGGGGGGGGGGGGTTTGAAAAAGTTTTTTCTAAATAAAGTAAAAAAAAACTAACTAAAGTGACACACCACACCAAAACGAATTTCAGAACAACCCAAGGATAAAAACTGAACATAACTCCACCTAGAAGCCCAAACAAAGAAGACAAGCACACATAACACAATAATTTAGGGACTTAAACAATTTTAGAAAATCTACAAGGTGTTTTATAGTATAGAAAATAAATATCTAGGATCAAATCTTTGTTAAAAACTAGCATAATCATCAACCAACTTTAAATTAAAACGAGGGTTAGGCTGAAGAAGAGATCCACCAACGGCTCTTCCCAATTTTCCCATTCATAAAAGCTCATGTTAGGACCAACCCTAACTCTAAACCCTATTACCCTTAGCAACCCAAAGACCAACCCTTAGATTACTACTAAGAATACTGAATTAAGATTTGTGGAAAACATCACCATAACAATTCTGCAGTAACACGAAGGTTATTTAACAAAATCAGTTTGAGAACCTTGATTAGCAAAAATCACTTAACGAGGCAATCTAGTACTAATCAAGTGACACTTGGTTTCTAGAAAAGTTCGGCTATTTAAAGCACTTTGGACTTTAAAAGAATATCATTTTAAATTGGATTAGGTCGCGATCCTAATTTGACCCAACTTAAGTAAAATCAATTGAAAAGTAGTTCTCAAACACCTTTGAATTAATTTAAAAATAGCAAAAACTTGAATTATTTTAAGAGTATTAAACTTGAAGTAAATGTTTAAACCCGTAGACAGATTTAATTTTAAACAACAAGATTCAATACTTCCTCCAAAAATTCTGGTTTCATATGTGTTTTTTTTAACAAAATTAGACCTTGAATACCACAAGAATAAGGAATGCTCTCAAAAAATATGCTTCTCGATTAAACACCAGATTTGTTAACTTTGCAGACTCAATTTTTGAAGTCATTGTTTAGTTTTTAGGGAATGTAAAGTGCTGGTTCCCTTTACTGCACAGAGTATTAAGTAGCAGCACTAAATGGAGTAAAAGAACTCAAGCAAGTGACAATACGAATATATCCCTTACCAAACAAACTTTGGTTTCAACATTAAAAATTGATGAAAGTATGAAATTCTTGGCGAAAATCAAAAAGCCGTACTCTAATTGTACTCAAAATTCTCAACAAATACAAACCAACTCTGATTTAAAACAAACTTGAGAACTGAAGCAACAGGCTCAACAAAAATGTAAAAAAACAAGAAAATTTGGAAGAAGGGAACGAAAGGAACGAAGGGGGTTTTGGGTTGACGACCCGAACCCCCCTAGGGTTCATACCCTTTGGATTGAGCTCTGATTTTTACTCTTCATGGTGGTGGTTATGTTCTTCGCAGTGCCTCCCTCAATTTATAGGTGCAAGAATTGCTTCCTCCGTCTAGGGTTAGGATTCTTCGCTCCGGGATTTGCGTTGCTCCGTTTCTTCTCTCTCCTCTTTTGATCGAGATGAAAAAGATAACGAGTAGGAGAAGGAGTTCTCCTTGTGTGAACAAAAAATAAGATAGGGCGCAGCTTCTCTGGTTTCTTTCGTGTGTGCAGCGGAGGATTGGGCCTGGGCTGTTTCTTTATCACCATATGTTGGGGTAGAACCCAACGGGATCACTTTTACGTTTTCAGTACGCATTTTATGCTCCAAAGATATATCTAATAACATTTGTCAAGGAGAATATGGGTCCACAACAATAATATTCAAAAATAAACTAAAAAGTGTGCATTATGAACATATTTTATAAACGATGCCTAGAATGCATATATGATCATTTGAGTGTAAAAATGCACTTTTTAATGCCCGAAAATACTGATTTGATAGAAAATAATTAGTGAATATTTTGGACTCAACATACACCGGGTGAACCGCGCTCACCCCAGACAGTTCTAGAAAAATACTACGGCAGTAAATATTTTCTAAAACTCATAAAATTAAATTAGATGTCCAAATAAATCTAATAAAATTTTATAAAAACCATTTTTGCATTCTGGATATTCTGCCAGCATAAAACAAATCCAGAATATTCCAATTGACCAAAATGCCCCTTTTGCAAAATAATTTTCAATAAGGCAATAAAATTTCAAAACAATTTTGCAAAAATCATGAAAATTAAATTTCAACTTCCAATAATTATTTTCAACATTTATAAACCTGGAAAAAAAAATTCCAAAATTTATAAATCATTATTTCCAAAATATATTAGTTAAATCTCAATAAGTTATAAAAGGCGATTTAAATTATTTTCAAAAACATTAAATTATAAAAATTTAATATTTTGAAAAACATTCTTTTTCTTACTGAGATATAACTTTACAAAATATATATTAGTCATTTATGTAATTAAAATACAAATATATATATATATATACACACACACACACACACATATATATATATAATATTTCGGTAATAATACCGAGTACATATATAAA